TTTCTACAGGGCATCTCAGCACTGGGATGTTTCTGCTTGCAGGCCACACCTCTGTGCAGAGAGCCAAGGGTTCGGTCTGGACTTTGAAAACTGTGTTTCCTGTCAGATGTATTGCTTTCCCAAACTGTTATTTCTTTTCCAGCAGAGGGTTTTATGCGTTTCCTGACATGAGCCTGTGAGATCTTACGGATGATGTTCCCAAGTCTTAATTATAGTTCTCCACACAAGTGTAATGGGGAGATTTATTTAGCACATGGGAAAAGCATGCCTGTCATTCAGATTCTTTAAGCCTGTGCTTAGCGCGCTCAATGTTCTCTTCCCTTTTTGTGTCAGCAGAATGACATGGCTGAGATTTCCATGGCAAAAAAAAAAAAAAAAAGAGGCACAAAACCGACCAAAACTTGAGCCAAACTGGCTCAGGATGTGGAATTGGAAACTGCATGTGACAAAGAATTCCCTGACTTCTACTGATGTTCTCTGAAGTTGCCAGGAATTTAAGCATCTTTAAGTAATTGTTATGACTCAGTAAGAATCATCTGGCAGGAGAAGCTGGAGAGCCAGGCCAAGGAAGTAGGACAGCCCACAGGGTATAGGCCAGACCAAATTCTCCTGCCCTCACCTTGCCCTGGTTTTTGAACTGGTGGTTCCCTTGATAGGAGGAAAGCTGCAAGTGCCCTGTGTTGCTGGCGGTCTCAATGGGTGGATGGTGACAAGTGGCTGAGCTAAATTCAGGCTGCTTGCTCAGTGATGTGTATCCATAGGATCCAGGCTCTCTTGTTCCCAGTGCTTCACAAACAGTTCTCCGACTGGAAACACAGCCCCATCTGAGAGATGGCCCAAGAAAGGGGCCTATAAATAAAATAATAGTTAAAAAACAGACCACCAAAGTAGCTTCAAGTCCTTGTCCATATGTGAGGGATTGAAATGTGCTAGCAAAGCCCGACACTTGCAGGGCACTGACAGGATTCCTCATCAGGAAGGGGACAAAGGTATCTGAGCACCCTCAGCACTCCCAACCAGCCAGGACAGCTGCGCTTTGTCTCTAGGTTCAGCTGTAAATTTCTCATAAGCATCCTTGTGCAGAAGGGTTACTTCATTAGAGCCATTGTTAATGATCCCCTGCTTCTCTCTAGGGAAAGCACCGGTGTCACTGTGTCACTTCTGATTTTTGAACATTCAAATCATTCAACTCCACATAAGTTTATTTTCTCTCTTTTGCACCATCTTGAGGGGTGTGTGGAATCAGATCCTATTGTATCTGTATCAACAGCATTGCATGAACAATGCAGCCATGATATGAGCAAACGCTGGCTCCTCTTCAGACACTCCTGCTGATGAAGAACAATTGCAGCGTGGGATAGTGAAGAGCTGTTGAAACAATTGTACTTTCATGCTCTCTTAAAAGTATACTAAATTTAGAGAGTACAAACCTGATACCCTTTCTCTACATTCTTGCATTATTTCTGGCATTATGATTTTTACAGTCTCAAGATAACTGTCAGCACGAAATGAAGCTGGTCTGGTTTGGTTTTAAGATGTGAGGCAGCAGCGCTGCCTGTCTTTCCACAGCAACAAGGGAGTATTTCAGTTTTAAAACCCAGGATTTGATAACTGTGCCTGCTCCATTCACAATGCACTCTGTTTTGGGCTTTTTACTGGAACTCAGCATAGAAGCTAAGCTATTTATCATCATCCTCCTTTAAAATGAATGTTCCTGCTCTACACATGGTCTCATTTCTCCTTACAAAGTGTTGGTGTTGAGAAGACATTCCTCCCTCATGAAAACAAAGCGTTGGGTCCCCTACTTGCAAATACACACTTGTGTCTCTGAAGAAAAACCTGTGTATCAAGTAACACTGCATTTATATTGCAATATTTTAACCTGGTACCTGTTGTTGCTACAGCAGCATTCAATGTTTCAGTGGGCTGCCTTCGAAGCAAGTAGGTTACAACATGGGTTATGTGTGAGTACAAAAGTGTGGTCTGTGAGTGTGCGTGAGTGTTTTGTGGGTGAGTGTGTGAGTATTTGCACGTGAGTTTTCTTACCAGTGAGCGTATGTGAGTGTTTATAACTCACGTTGAGTCTTGTCTCTGGAAGTTCACGGTTATATATCAAACCAGTTAGAACACTGCTTTCTTTCCTCTCCTCCTATAGTACTTGTTATCCTTTGTCATTAAGAGTTTTGTTGTAATATCTAAATGTGAAAACGAATAAAGTCATAAACCGGCAGCTGCTCTCTGGTTCCTGGAGCCGCTGCCGCTCCCCACACACACTGGGCGGCCATATAATAAGCATGTTTTAGTTTTATTATTTTTATTCCCCTCTGCATTTCCCCGCATCCTCTAGGAAACAGCTGGCCTTTGTGGCACTTCCATCCAGGATGAAAAGCGGTCTTTGCTCAGGATGAAGCGGATACTCTCTGGTTACTCTTGCTGCCAGGAGCCTCAGGCCCAGCCCTTCGCCCCGCTGCCATCTCCCCCAGACCCGCGACCCTCCCTCAGCCCCGGGACCCCGCGGCCGCTCCTCCTCTTTCCCCGCCGGGAGGACCAAGGCCAGCGGACCCCGCCGGACCCCGCTTCAGCTCCGCACGGAGCCACCCCTCAGCGGGCGGAGGGAGGCGCCGCAGCGGCCCGCAGGTGGCGCCCTCAGCCCGGCGGCGGCCGCGGGCCCCGGGGCAGAGCCCGGCCGGGAAGATGGCGGCGGTGTAAAACCTGACGGGGAAGCGAAGGGCGGGTGTGAGGCACGGGCGGGAGCCGGGCTGACGGTGTTCCGCGCAATGGAGACGGAATATAAATGGATTTGTGGATGTTTCTCCCACAAAATCACCAGGAGCTGGCGTGAAACCTGAGGCACGGCTCCCTCCTCACCCCCGTGGTGACTTGTGAGGACCTCAGTGCCATTCATCTGCCAAAATATGGTCCCCTGAGGAGTGGTCGCTGTCAGAGGCATGGCTGTCCTCTCCAGGGTGAGGAGACTTGGGGACATCCCCTCAGCTCCAGCTTCTCCATCACCATCAATCCCTCCATCCATCACAGGGAGAACGCAGCCTAAAGGACCTTTGGACTCTTGCCCTGCCCATCCAGGGATATGTCTGTCTGGGAATGTGGAGATAGAAGCAGTTCTGTTCATGAAATCCTCCATTTTGGTGGTACCCTGCTCATCTCCTGCCTCCCAGCCTCTCCATCAGACAGGGATGTCCCTTCCTTAGGAAGGCTCATGGCTTGGTACACGGCACAGAGCAACCTCCTGGCTCCCACTTCGTGAGGAGGGATGGGGATGGGACCAAGCAAGCAGCCCTCACACTGGGAGTCAAGCATGGCAGACACCTCACCCAGGCAGAAACACAGCCCACAGGAAACCAGACAGGGCAAAATGAAAAGCAGCCTGTTCTTGTGGTTAGAAACGGGAACTAGGAAGTCGCTAGCTGGGTCCTTCAGCTTGTTTTGCCTCTAACATGGCCAGCAAATGTCTTCTCAATGCTTTTCAAAAGTGCTTTGAGATCCTCCTCTGAAAGTCAACGCAGCAACAGCAAGGAACCCGTTAGGCTCCTAGGACTCCCTGGCCCCTTCTGAGGACATTTCAGCATTAAAATGATGCAGAGCTCCATGCTGAAATATTAAACTGCTGTCTGCGCTGCAGGAACAACGGCTCCAAAACACGTTCTGCACAGCTGCGGTCTCAGTGTGCTGGCGACAACTCTTGCCCTCCATCTCCGGTGAAAGTTTGGGTGAAATGTTGAGGGGCCATTAATAGCACCCAGCAGTTACCAAGAACAGCAAAATTAAATGAAAAGGCCCAAACAAGCAGAAGCAGAACATTCAGCTGCTGCTTCAGAAACATTTCCTAGACTCTGCTGATATTTCTATAGAGCTTTTCATAAACAGCTTCTCAGAGGGTTTTAGAGCCACATGCTACATGTGTTTAGCAGGGCCCATACGTTCATTCCATGCCAAGATGCGGGTTTGCAAGTCTGCCGTTTTCCTTGGGAATGGCATGGGTCTCTACAAGGGCAGGACTAGACCCACCACTTGCATCTCAACAAAACAGGCTGTGCTTCGGCGGCGTTATCTGACACATATGCGCCCAATGCGGCACAAATGGGTAAAGTACAGAACCTCCCAAAAGAGAACAGTTTAATAAGATGCTTAGGTTAAACATCAGGCTTATCTGAGGGCCTTACTGAGCAGCCAGGGAAATCACCAAGGAGACCGTATCTCAAAAGAGCACAGCTATTTGTTCAGAAGTTTAGAAATTATCCTAGCTCACAGCCCTGCAGTACTTGTTTTCTTTGCCACGTATAAATTGCAAAATCCAAGGCAGCCATTACACCGTTAGATCTCCAAAGAGACCAAAATCCTTAGAACTGTTAGATGAAAGGAAAATTCACCAAGTCCTGTTTTACAGTATTTCGCGGGATTAATGTTTATTAACAGCATTTGAGTGTTTGTAACATTTCCCATTTGGTACACCAGAACCAAGTAACTCTGTATTAGGCAAGAGTGACTGAATCCTGACACGGAGGCTGTGCAGTTCCTGCCCCAGCGGCACTTCTGTCATTAACTGGGCAGACTGGATGCACCCCACCTCATCTCCGCACACACAGCCATTTTCTCCCCATTTCACACACGCTATTAAACCAGCTCTCGTGTCTTTTTGATGCTCAGCACTCCTGACACATCGAAATGACGTGTGCTGAGGCCACAATGTATGTGTCCCTACAGCCAGCCCCATCATGAGCTCGTCCCTCATGGGAGGGTCTAGGGTTGGCCCGACCCATTGCAGCCCCACTGCCGCCATGGCCGCGCTCCTCCGCATCGCCACACCCCGATGACGTCATGACAGCTAGCCCCGCCCCTCCTCTAGCCCCGCCTCTTCTGGGCGTGTCTCTCGGCCCGGCCCCGCCTCTCGCCCTCGTGGCGCTGGGCGGGGCGTGCAGCGTATGCGCAGTGCGCGGCCGCCGGGCTGCAGGCGAGGCGCGGGTCTGGCGGCTGAGCCGGAGCTGCTGCTGCAGGAGGGCCCCGGGGCGAGCGGAGCATGGAGCGGCGGCCACCGGCTGCGGCCGCGGGGCTGGGCAGCGCCGTGCGCCGCCCGCCGCACTAAGGCGGTGACGAGCTCTGAGGCGAAACGAGGCGGCGAGCCGAGCCCCGTGGCTGTGTGTGAGCGCGACTGAGGCGGCAGCGGCGGCTCCTCCCGGAGGGTTTCTCGGGGCTGTGCGCCTTCTCCCCTCGCCCGGGCAGAGGCGGGCTGCCGGCGCTCCCCCGCGGGCGGCATGAGAGCGGCGCCCTGAGGGACCGGCGGAGCGGGGCTCGCCCCGAGCAAGCCTCCCTCGGGGGCCGCGGCCGGCGGATCGGGCTCGGCTGGGACCTGCCATGCCTGCCCTGGCTCCTCCCATGGCATGAGCCCGTGCTCTCCTCCCCTCTCCGCCTGCTTTTGGTCTTTCTCCGATCCTGGGCTGTCAGATGGGATAACGCGCACCCGGGCGTGCGGCGCTCGGCGAGGGAGCGGTGGAGGTAACTGGTGACGGCCGTCGGCTCGCCCGGAGTTGAAGATGAGCTGGCGGTGGCCTCGCCAGCACGGGAACGGCGGCTCCTCCGTCCTGTTGCTGCTACTGCTGTGGCACTGCCGGGTCCTGCCGGCCGGCGCCGATAACGCCAGCCAGGCGTACTACACCGCCCTCATCAACGTGACGGTGCTGAGCCCCGAGCGCGGTGGCCCCACGCTGCTGAGGATCGACCGCGGCCGCTACGGACAGGATTCCCCCAAGGTGGAGGTCAAGGGCCTGCTCGTGGCTCCCGTCCCCATCAACGGAGGTAACGCTCCCTTTGCAGCCCGCGGTCGCTTGCTGTCGGGTGCCTCCTTCGCGGGGTGGTTGGCCTTTGTCTGAGCTTTGGAGACTTTCCTGGGGAGCTCTGACAAAAGAGGAGGAAAAACTTGCCCAGACGAAAACCAAATGATTTTTAAATCCATGATTTTACCGTGTTGGCTCTGCGAATCTTAGTGTGTCTTCCGGCATGGATGCCAGCATGCTAGAGATACTGAGCAGTGAAGGTGTTCTTTCTCAGTTAATTACAGAGCGTCTGTGGCGATAGTTAACAGTATTTGGTTACAGCGTTGCCATGAAGCTGAGAACAGCTGCACAGTTATCTCAGTGTGATAGGTGTGCATCTGGGTGAATGCTGCAGCTGCTCGAAGCGGTGTTTTCTCAGTGTATGTTTCTTAGAAATGCTGTTGAAGCATCGAGACTTGGAAGGACGAAAGCCATCAAGCTGTTACTGGCTCGCCAGTCCAAAATGGGATTGTTTGTCGTACTGGATACTGTGTAGTGTTTCCAAATAACTTTTAAGTGAAGCTGTTGTCCATCATTTTGGGTGGGTTTTGACAAGCATTGTTTTTACAGAGAACGCTAATTTAAACAAGTGAAAGTATTGTCTTGATTTTTTGGCTGAAGTGGAAACGATTGCTTCAGTCATAAATGATGTGCTTTTAGTAGTATCTTATTTTTGCAAACGCTTCTTGATGTTATCTAAACTGCCATCTCTAAGAAACGGATCACTTGATGGATCACAGTGGTCCCAATCTGTCTCCTGGATAGTAAACTCTGAATAATGCATTAAGTGAAATAATGTAGCCAGTTAAAACTAGACTCTAAGTGGTAAATATTAAGAGGGTTTTTTAAAGTAATTGATAATGCAGAGCTACTATATTATTAAAAGCTTTTGAGAATTTACCAGATTCTAAGATCAGGAAAATAAATACTTTGATGCTGCTTCAGAGCAAAATGCATGTTTCTAGTATGTGAGAAGCAGCCTGTGCATCAGCAGATGCTTGTCAGTTTCATTGAAGCTCAGTTTCATTAGCTTTGGAAAGTGTTAACTAGAATATATTAATATAGCATATCTTTGGATGGATTGGTGAGGAAGCAGAAATCGTTGAGCAAGTCTACTGTAAATGATTTTCATTTGTATTTAAAGTCCTACTTTCCCTGTTCTCTCTGAGCCAGCTGTCATCAAATATGCTTAGTCTTTCTTTTTTCTGCTTCCTGGTATTCCTCACTTCCCAACACACACACCCCAACAGCTGTATGAAACTAGGAGGTTGTCCTGAAGGTGTTAGTCATGTAAATACTGTTACTGCAAGTAGTATCTTTAGGGGTTTTCAAACTGCTGCCTTTTAATATATGCAAGGTATTAAACCCCGTTATTTTTCTAATAGCTGTATTATTTACCAAGAAAAGCTTTCAATGTTAATTTTTAAACTACTTCTGTAACTTTTTCTGCTTCCTTCTGATACGGTCTTCACTAGAGTGTGATTAGAACATTGAGGGAGGCTGACAGCGTTTTCACTGGAAGCTGAGAAAAGTGCTTAATAAAATTCTGAGCAGTCCATAAGCAGCATTTTTATACCTTACTGATGAATACTATAATTAATACTTCAGTGAGAAGGCATACCAGGAACTGTGACACTGCAGACCTCGGTTTCCGCAGTTTTGACATGCTGCAGTCATTAGAACTTTGCCATCAGTTGTTGAGGAGGTTCAGGTTTGTCCTTCTGTTTGGTAACAGAAGACTGTTAAAGCAAACACTGCAGCAGCTGTTTTCCTTTAATGTTCTGAGTCGTTCTATGTAGACTGCTATATAATATACAGTTTTCGTTTTGCCGAGGCATGCTTTATGTGCCTAAAAATATTTTATGTAGTAGAAAAGACTGGAATATTTTGTGCTTTTAGTTAAGATGTTCTTGATTACTGAAGGGTCTTATGTTAATATTCTTCATTTTATACCTAGATTTTTATAAAATATGATGCTGTCTTGCTGAAGTAATTGCTCTAATGTCTTCTTACCAGTTTCTTAATACTGCTGTAGAACTTATTTGCAAAATATTTTTGCTAATAGTTCTTAACAGTAGCTCTTAAGAGTAATATTGGCTGTTAGAGCAGTGAATGCTCTACCCAATTCTGGTATGTTGAGAAGAAAAGGATTCTACAACTGCTAACAGCTATCTTTAAAGACTATAATTTGTTTTACTGTTGTTCTGAAAGCTAACAAAAAGCAGAGAATGAAATGGCTATGTATGCATTGGCATTATGAGAGCATCGCAGTTTTATCTTCCAGAAACTGCTCTGAAGGAAAGACATAGGGATCAGTGGAAAGAGATAATGATACCAGTAAGACTCCTTGAATATTTTTAGTTTGGAGAAACACATCCAGGAATATCTTGTAATTAAGTTATTGTTACTAGAATCTCAGCCAGCTGCTAGCACTAATTCTGACTACTCAGTAGCCATGAGATAGTCCTAGAGACAGTAGATCAGCAGTTACTAAAATGTGGTGCAGAGTAATTTGTCCCTGCTTTGCCTGTGGAAATGACAGGCATGCTCCTGGTTTACAGCATTAAGTTATGCCTTGCTGTAGTTTGAAACATAGTTATTTGACTTAGAAACTGCTTTGATGTCAAGTATTCATCCATTTGTGGGCTACCCCTTGAAATTTCCACAAACGTGGGTGATCTGTTAAAGCCTTGATGGTGTAGACTTAGAGCTGAGATGTCCTTAGTGACTAAGATTTCTTACTCATTGCCTGCAGGGAAAGAAATGAATTTACTAATTCAAGATTTAGGGTCAGAGATGTGCTGCTGAACATACACCATTTGTAACAGCACAGTCTGTGATTTTAAATGTTGTGCTCTGTGGTGTTTTTGATTAACCCGTGTTCTTGAATATGCCCAATACTGTATATACTATGTCCTGCAGTTGCCAGTCCCATATGATTACCCATCCTTTAAATCTCAATTCAGAAAGATGCATTGAATCACTGCTTTAATTTCTTTAGCAAAATTTCTTTAATCAAATTCAACATTGTCGTGTTAATACACATATTAAAACTCTTTCCCTGTTCTTTTTATAGATCCTTGTATGAAATTGAGACTGGCTTTCAAAAGCAATGCTCCCCTGGAAGTGATACGGCTGTAATTCGCATGACCGCTTGTGAATGTGACGTGCAAGTGTAGCTTCAGTAAGCAGTCAGTCACATTTGGCTGCTGGGTGTAAATACTACACCTGTGTACATGCCTTTCCAAGTGCATTCAATGCAAGATAGTAGCAGAGCTTCTCTATTAATCTCTCTTCCATTCTTCCACTTCTAGTTCATTTTCTTACTTTCTCTAACTTGTTAACCTTTTGTCATGATTTATTTATCATTTATTAGAAGAGTGTTTGGAACAGCTTCTGGATATGAGTATATGCAGATTAAAAAAAAAGCTCTTCTTATTCTGCATGAAAGGGTAATAGTGAAAAGCATCTTCACATCCTGATGCAGCTTTTCTGATAGTTCAGGTTTATATTATCTCTTCGATATGGTTACTGAGCACTTCTCATTCAGTTCTGTAATCTGTTACTTGTTACTTTGTGGAGCCAGTCATTTCAGCCCAGACTTCTTGCAGTAGCTGTCTAGGTACTTGTGGCAGGGTCTGTACGTTCACTATGTAAGCTTTCAGTCCTGTATCAGTTCAGTGACCTCTGCTTTTAAGCATCACTGGTATTAGGTGCCTGACACTAGTTGTGGTGCTGACATTTAGGTGTCAGACATATTTCTCTTGCTATGGAAAACCAAGGTAGAAGCCATTGAAAACTGACTTTAGTGGTTCTTGGTAGAAACTTCAGCACTTTGTGGCTTAGTTCCCTCAAAAATGTTCTCCATGGTGAACAGGACTCTTCTGTAACTGTTGATTCTGGGTTATTGCATGTCATCCTGGGTTTGGATACACAGCTGAGGGCTGGAAACATCAATCCAGTGTTGTCCTGGGTTTAGCTGTAACAGTTGTTTTCTCTCATAGTCCTCCTAGATGGTTGGACCTTGCTGGGAGGTAAGATTTTTGTGCACCTTGGCTGGCTTGGCTAGCGAAAGCAGGCAAGTGATGAGGACTGGAGGTGGGACTTACAGGAAGTGAAGTAGCAGCAGCCTCAAAGCTGAATTTGAAAATGCTCAGACTCACTGAACAAATAGGTCAGAAATGAGGGTGTGAGGGGAGTGGAAAGAGACTGGAATCTTAACAGCATGTGGGGATGACGGTTGTATGAAATCTGCATTGGAGAAAGAACTTTTAGAAAGGAGAGATCTCTGCTAAAGGGGCATTAGGGCTGTGACTGCACAAGGACACTGAGAATTTGAGAAGAAACATATGTTAGAAAAATGTGGAAGTGGGGAAGAAACAATATTGGCTCAGGGTTAGGAATGAAGGTGTATCTTGTGCATAATACTGTAACTATAGCATTTGGTGGCATCTGACACTTCATAAACATGTTGTGTGAACAAGTTTTAGCTGCAGAAGGTTTAAAATGCCAGTTTCCTGGTAACTGCAGAGCTTTAGGTAGCATTCAGACAGAATTTCATATTCCTTTCTGGCCCACAATCCAAAGCAGCAGGCTTTAGGAAAATGCAGCAATCAAATACATCATAGTGGAAGAAAAATCTTGTGCCGTGCATCCATCCTTTACCACTGGTCTCAGTATCCAGCTTAATTAGCAGTCATTAATTGATAACGAAAGTGGAGGTTATAGATTGGAGGTTTTAGTCATAATTGTAGTATCCTGACTGAGCTAACACGATTACATCTGGACTATTACAGGACTCTTTCAAGCTTCAGTGATTTTCTTTTGTTTAACTTCTTCCTTGAAACAAGATTACCTCTTGTTCAAAGAGTTTCTTTTAGTGTTAAAGCCAGCTTTAGTCAAAGCAATTACCTGAAATAGCTCTTGATAATAGAATATCACTGTATATAACTCATGGACACAACTTTTAAGAAGTTGCAGTTA